CACTGTGCCCTCGAAAGATGTAAGCCGAATGCCAATCTCCACTCCACAAGCCAAACCTTTCCTCATCACTGTTTCATCATGTTCCAGTGCAGAGTCTCTTCAGAGGCCCTGTAGTTAGATTTTTACCATGCCAGGGATTTTATGCGCTGTCATATGGAGAGGTATGAACATTAAGAAGGAACAGTGGCTAAGCACTAGTTCAGAAGACCAGAGATAAACTGCCTGCTGAATTGGTCCCACTCACTTCCCCACCAACAAAAAATGGAGATACAGTAAGTAGAGCCTGATCTCAACATATGTTGAGGAGATACATTAATTAAAGATTGTGAATGAGTCTGAAAGGGGCCCTTTGCTGGACTTGCTCCAGTAATACCATACCCCTCTTGTACTGGAGAGCCCAGAATTGGACACAGCACTCCAGGTGTGGCCTCACTGATGGACACATGCAGCCCTGAACCTCTCTACTCACACTCCAAGCTGACAAAATGTAAGGTGTTTTTACTATATAAATAGTAAATACAAGTAAATAAAATAGCCACAGAAATATTGTCTATCCCTGAGGCCAACGAGCAGAGACAATTTGTATCTCTCAAGATAAACTCTCTTAACTCCGTCCCGGAAAATGATGATTTTATTGCCTGCTGGGAATGGTCTCTCTGCTATGCTATCCTCTAAAGGATGCTAGGCATTGTTTGGGAGAGTCCTCACTGGTATGGTCTTAAATCATGTCAGGGAGTATGCTAACAGATAAACAGTTAAACATGTAGATGACTGCAAGGACAGTGTTTAAGCTTGGGCAGTCACCCTGTTTAGTTTATTTACTAGTGTAACTGTAAGCTTCCAGTCCAGAACACCTGTAGCCAGGTTAGCAGGGGCTGTGGCCGAGGCAGTATTCTCTGGCTCCCACCATATGAAACATTTTTCTTTCAAGAGTATTTGACTGGGCACAGCACCACGTGAATCCAACTGCACGGCTTCTGGGCTGGTTCTGCATTACATGTGGCTTGTTTGGAGGGCAAAGAGACAGGGACCTGCCTGTATTCCTCTACGCGAGCATGCTTGAATGTATTAAGTATTGTATGTATATTATGTATATCAACTGCTTTAAATCAACTTCAGAAACATCATTTTTGAAGACTATACACCTACTTTTGTTATACGTATTTCAGGTAAGAAATGAAATGGATTCAGCTCAGACTCAGCAACATTCACAGAAATGAGTGACACCCTCCACTACGCCTGCTCTGAGTTGGTAAAATAACATTATTGGTAAGTTAAACACATTTAGGTATCTCATAAATGCTTTCATAAGAACACATATTTATTATAGGAACACCGTCTGTCAGCAGCTTCCTTATAAAGCCCTATTTTCAGGGATTTATAGAGCTGACATATGTATCGTGGGGGGAGAAGCCTACATTTGCATGGCAATGACCTTATAGGTCTTTACCTCTATTTTCTACGATTCTTTAAATAAGCTGTGTTGTTCACTTGGAGAAGCAGCAAGATGTAAGACAAGCTGATTTTCTTTGTGAAGAGTTCCCAAGTGTAAAAAAAAATCTACTGTTCTCCTTTAATTTGTATGCATATAAACTAGACTGAAATTTTGTGCAGCAATAAGACAATGTTTAGATGCTTGTGTAATTTTAAAGAAGCTTTAGCTATTTTTAAATGTTCTTTGGCAAAAGATTATTTCACAGTGTGGTCTAATCGTATTTAATATTTTGAAAAAGGAAATATAGAAGAATAGCTAAATCTGATCTGGGCTAGAAATGCCTTCTTTTGTCCAATGATGACCCCTTCCTGCAAAGCACACTTGCAGCGCTTCAAGAAATATCAGTGCCCCACCAAAAGTTAGCCAGGTAAGTCAAACAACTGAGTAACATGAAAGAGCACTTCTCACTGTTTGAGCTGCTTATGAATGACTTCTAGCAATAAAATAAAAAGGCTGAATATCACTAGAGAATCAGTGGCATGAGGATCAACACGATGAATGAATGTTGATGTGAAAAGTAAAAAGGTAAGAGCAGAGGAACAAAACTCTAAAGAGATGGTCATCTGGTCAGGCAGGTCAAGATGAATAAATCTGCTAGAATATTGCAAAATCCCTTAAACATTTTAGAAGACTGTAATATTTAAATGCAAAAATAGCAAGTAAAAGAGGAGTAATTTGCTTTACTTTGAAATATCTCAACGTTTGCAATCACAAAATATGAATTTTTTGTTCTGCAATATGACATTGTTAGTAATCAAAACTGTATATATATCACCTACAGTCAACAGAATCATAGAATCATTATGGTTGGAAGAGACCTCAAAGACCATCAAGTCCAACCGTATACCTGATGCCATCATGCCCGCTAAACCCACTAAACCATGTGTTGAAGTGCCACATCTAAACGTTTTTTGAACACCTCCAGGGATGGTGACTCCACCATCTCCCTGCAAAGCCTGTTCCAATGCCTAATGGCTCTTACAGTGAAGAAGTTCTTCCTAATATCCTACCTAAGTCATTGCCTTTATTGTGCTATTTACCAAAATACAGATTCTAAGCAAGTGAAATACAAATCTCTTGCTGTCCATGCCCATAAAGTATGTTTAGACATATTATATGCATCTGTTGCAAAAGAATAAAATATCAAAAATGCAAAATGCAAAACAGTTTCAGCCAACTTAATACTACTTTTTCCAGCATGAACACTAAAAGGATAGAGCAACATGCAGATAGCTATATAAAATACGAAAGTTCCTCTGTAGTGGGGAAAATTGCTTTCACACTTTATGTTATTTTAAAAAAAATGCTTGCTTTGGCTTACCCTGAAACTGAATCCCAGGCCTCAATTAAGCTGGAATCTAATGAAACAGAAATGCAGCTCAAAGGAATGCATCAAAATCTCCTCTAAGCCAGATTTGAGGAATGACAGCCAGGCTACTACTTTTCAAGCTACCAAAGATTTTCAAACAGGCTACAGAAGTGTTGCACTTGGTTGAGAGGTTGGGAAGTTATGAAGCACACAGCTGTATTAGTGCCTCTCTGCTGAATGATTAATGGAGCAGTGGCCTTTGGAAAAGGAGGCAGAGTAATAAGAGTGTCAGCAAAATATATCATGCAGGCAAAAACCATTGCCTGTGAGAATCTTCAAAGGAGCTCTTCCCACAATAGCATTAACCTGGCTGAATGCTTCAGCTATGGAAATAGAATGTAACCAATACACCTAGCATATATCATGGTAGTATATTTCTAATGCAATATATACAATGTATTACATCTATGCATATAAACATATTTAGGCATTAGATAAATATATAATGCATATGCTTTGCAAAGAAACTTTTTGTTAAGCATATTGAAAAAAAGCCCGTAATATTTCTTCATCTACAGTTACTTTACTTTTTCCAAGACACTGCAATAGCTTTACCCTATAATCATTGCCTATTGTTATAGTTGAAGGTGAAGTTCTGAATTTGATAGCAAAAAGAAATATAGTTTCTGATTTCCTAGTGTGCAATTAAAGAATTCAAGGTATTATAAAATTACTCAGCAGGTCACTCTTCCAGTAAATCTCATTTATTCATATCTCATTTTCTAATAAAGCAAAATACGTCTTACCTCTGACCCCTATAAAAATTTCACATAGTGGACATGAAAAAAGGAAATCTGACTCATTTTTTCATTCAGTAAGAAAAAGCTTCTTTCACTCAAACACCAGCAATATACAAGATCAGAATAATATACATTAATATAAATTATTCTTTCTTCCGTCTATTTTCCTCCTGGCATTTCTTATCAGAAATCTGACTTGAGAGTAAATAAGCAAGTTTTTTTTCACATCAATGATTAGTAATGAATAAACAGAGCAAGTACTAAAGCTGGCTTTGCACCTACTGAATGCTGCAAGTGTCTGTACTCATTTGATATGCATCTAGCAAAGCTTGGATGTTCCCAGAAGGCCACTCCATGAACACTGAGAGAGCAGCGTCTGCTAGTGGTGCCTGTAAGTCACAAAGAAGACAGAAAATATTTATATAAGTGAGAGCAATTGGAAAGAATGAACCTTATTTAAACTACATTCCATGCTATTTTAAAATAACACACAAACAATTTCATGCAATGATCATCATAGAGAATAGTACAAGATTCTCAAACACATTTCAGTGTTCACTTGGTAGGTTTTTAGTAGTGTTTTCTTAATTAAAAAGATTTTTATGTTTTGCTGCATTTTCATCCCTCTCACTGATAGGTCCTGTCAAATTGATTTCTTCTCAGCTTTTTCTTCCTGGCTGTAATACATATATGTCTGTGTATACACATATATACACCACAGATCCATGCATACATGTAAGCTATAAGAGACAGAGTATATGCACATGTATATACTATATGTATGTATATGCATATTTAAGTATGTGGGGTTTATATAGATATACTCACATGTATGCACATATACATATGTATGCAAGTCTAGTAATGATTACATGTAGAACACATTGCAAAAGATTTCTCCCCTTTTTTATCATCATATAATTTCAAAGTAATACTGTACCTGTGGCATTGAGAGGACATCGATTGAATGCCATGTCCCCAGCCGGGGTCCTTTTCCACACCATTGACATCAAATAGTCTTCAGGACATATTTCATAAGGTGCTGCCATTTAGAAATGAGAATTTAAATAGAAACATTAACGTAAAACAGGTATTTTATATCAGAAAATTAAATCTTCAATCTTGTCCTAATTTTTCCTGAGATGTATATGTTAACATCATTTGGTTTAATTTTAAGAATGAAGTACAAAAATGCAAAACCTGTAGTTTTTGTATAATATCTGTCTTAGTGATGATATTTATTTCATACAATCTGTGCCTTTATTCTCTTCAGCAAACAAACACTCTTTAGGTTTTAGCTGCAATGTTAATAGGTTTGAATCTTTTCTTGTTGCTCTATTTTGATCAATAACATCAAGCATCTAACAGAAGATGATGATACTTAAAATGTTATAAGCTATTATGCTTATCTTACAAATTTTAAAAGATTTTTCTAAAACTTGAACTGTATGTGAAAGAATCAGTTCTGAAACCACACTTGAAACATTAAATGTGCCAAAGGTATCGAATGAGAGCTGTAAATGCTGAAGACCAAAAAGCAGGTTATTTCTTCAAAATGTGTTTCAGCACAAGTTGGTAACTAAGCCAGGCTAGTCAATAATGTGGGATTGAGAGGCTACAAAACAAAATGGCCTTTCATTGGTTATTGCAATAGCATTTATAGGAAAAAAATATTTTCACAATTTCATAGTAACAGAACTGCACAGTGAAAAAAAAGCTTCTGCAAATGCTTCGTGTTTTATTTTCATGTGGTCATGACTTACAGATTCCTTTTGTTCTTTGTATTTTTTACTGTAGAGTCCCAGTTCATGATTTTTGAGTAAATTAGATTAACACAGCAAACATCTGGCTGGAGTCATCTCACAACTTAAAGCACTGAAAAATGCTAGTTACTGAAATCTAAATCATTCCAAGTTCAGAAAAATCACGAATTGTTTAAAAGTATTATTATATGTATTTCATGAAAATTGTAACCCCACTGCATTACAGCAAAGCAGTTATGAAACAAGAAAAAGGAAAAGAGAAAGGAAATTCTATCACTATAGCAAATGGGGTGATACGGCAGAAAGCAATTCAATGATTCACCCATGGTTGCATGGGCAATCTCTAGCAGAGGCAGGAACAGACTACAGATTTTGCCCATCCCATTACCCAACCCACAAAACTGTCCATCTTCCCTGGTTTGTACTTCTGCTGATGGAAGAGTGAGGTAAGGGAACTGAGCAGACTTTTGCACAAAGCTGTACCCTCTCTTTGTGGAGGGCAAAGAATACCTTGCAGATGACTCAGTAATACTAATATGAATCACAGTTGGGCAGAAAAATTGCTTGCTAAATTTGCCTCATCAGCAGCATTCCTGAATAGTAAATCAAGACAGTTGGTGCTGCTAAAAAAGCAAGAGATCCACTAGTGGCAAAACCCAAAGAAAGCTGGTTATATTCATAATCTAGCATACTAACCCTGCTTCAGACATGCCCAAAGAGTGACTGCATCGGGCCAGTGTTACAATGGGAAAAGCCAGATTTTGATAAATATAAGCCATCTGGTGACATAAGCAAATGCAATTACCATCCTATTATGACCTTATAAACAAAAGAAACATTCTGATTTGGGGAGTGTAAATTCATATAATAAGGAGGTAATATTAGAAATTACATAAATTTGCTAAAGCTTAGCGCTCTTTGAGAAGTATATTTGTCATGCAGCTGTGGCCATTTCAAACATGTTCTGCTCAATAATCAACACTTTAGGTGTAGATTCTCAGAACTAAAACTCTTACTTCCCTCTGAGGACTGAATGTTAAATGTGTTGTTTTTCTGAAAAAAAATATGTACATGCATATATATGCATACTTATATACACACCATATTTTCTCTTTTATGTTAGCAAGTCACAGGTAATATCAGAGATTTCCCACCTACTTGGAAGGGTACTACTTGTGTGCTTTTGCATCGCACTTTTCAGAACTCCAGATTACGTTTTAACTTTAGCCTAGTGCACCTGTGTCTTGTGTTCAGAGTAAAAGGCAATCCCAAGACACAGAGTTATCAGGAAAGAGGTCAGGAGCAAGTCAGAGCTTGGAAGAGGTATCACTTAGCCCAGGCAAAGAAGTTCTCCTTGTCCCTGGCTGACTCTGTGCCTTTCAACGCACTGTACAAATACCTTGGATCAAGGAATGCTGCGCATAAAAAACAAACTAGTTCTTCCCAAAGTTAAAGTATACATGACAGAGCTTACTAATCAGGCATCCACCCACATTAAAGCATCTGTGAGGCTCCAACCCATGTTGCCCATGGAGACATTACAGTCACGCTGGAGTGGTATTATATCTGAGTTAAAAAGCCTCGCTGGCCCTGCTGGCTCTGCACAGGACCAGTTCAAGTATTTCTGTAACAATGGCACAATTAATTCATAACACACCCACAGATAAATGTGAGTTAGCTGCACAAAATCATAGATAATTGCTAAAATTTAGAAGCAGACAGCAAATACTGAGGTAAATTTGCTAAAACTGGCAAATAAAAAGCAGATCTCTCTTTCACTGACGATGTGATTCAGCAGTATCTTCCCACACAGAGCATGTACTCAAATTTCCCACGCTATACCCCTGAAATGATAGGCCTGAATTCATCCCACCTAAGAACAAACACTCAACAAAGTCAGTGGTCTAGAAGCACAGTCTTCCCCTGACTTTACTGGTGAGAGGACAAGCACCTCCAAGAGGCAATCAACCCAGCAGGGATCTGAGGAAGCTCCGTACAACACACAGACAAAGCAAGAGACATGCATGACCTCACAGAGTTTACAGTCTACCTAGGCAGCTAACAAATATGGGAAAGGGTAATGAAAGAGTGAAGCAAGTCAGCCAACAGCACACACTAGCTCACAGACAAAGCTAGAACTGCAGTTCCTCTCTTGAATCCTAATTCAATGCTACAGGCAAAATTATCTTAAACAAAGGCCATAGAAAAAAGCTCTTGAATGTCCTGTAGAACAGTGTTGTAATTAGAGACAAAACCAAACCCAAATTAATTTTATTATTTAGCTGTTGACAATTATTTGAATCTTCCCTCTTCTCATATTCTATCCTATGTAGCTAGTATTGCCTCTGAAGAAACCTTCTACCTTCAGTAGAAATCATTAGCTAGTCTTCGGCAGCAGTTGTGCACTGTTATCGTTTTGTTAACAAACAAGGTAGTCTATCATTGTTTTCGGTAATATTTTGGTCAAAACAACTCCTATGTCATGTTTTTTACCACTGACAATAGGCTTATGAGAAAAATATTGAAGATCTGTTTTGGCTAAAATCTGGGTAAAGCATAAATACTGGAACATGTACACAGTTATTAAAGAATTAATTATTATGGAATTAAGTATTTCTGAAAAACAATACTATACTATTGGAACCTAATATATTCTTAAAACTGTCACAAGGACACAGTCCTATTTTTATAAAAATTAATTTACAGAAGTCTTCTCTCCTGAATAATACTGTACTTTGTTCTCAGTTCTCACATCTCTCCGTTTTTACTGACACATTTGATGGGACTTAGCATATTTCTCTTACACATTTCTCTAAAAGTTGCTGATCAGCTTGCCATGTAATTTTTTATCAGTCATTAATTTCCGTTGTTACCTAGCTGTCTCCCTTATTCCTACGGGACAGAACTATTGTTCATTCATCCTGTGTAAATCCTCCGCAGTGATTCCTGCAAGACTAGCTGCTTAGCAAATCTAGAGGTTTTTTTCCTTTTTCTGATTTATTTCCAGTTTTCTGAAGTTATCCTTCACAAAAGGATACTTTGAGTGCAGAGTACTAAATCCTTAACGCCTACCAGGATTGAAATCTAACTTTAGACATTTGGGATACAACAAAGGAACAATGACTGAAGCCAAAATATTTCAGATCTTTGTTCTTCGTTCCCAGAATATTAGACAACGGAAGGAAACAACCACAGTTCTAAAATTTGTAATTGTGAATAGAAATAAAGCACAAAGAAAGATACTCAACATTTGTCCAGAAACCAAGCTGTTTGAGAAACCAACTTTCAGGTAATAGTTCTGAGCCTGCCCTTCTTAGTGCTGCTTATATTCAGCTCCTAGGAGTGTCTGATGTAATTCAGTCCCTGCCTGAACCATTTGAAGAGAATCACTGATCGACTATGAAGAAAATCTTGTATAATGTTCAGATAATGCAGAACTTAAACTACAAAAAGTCCAGTCAAGATTTTCAGTCAGTCAAGTAAACAGTTCTGTTTGCAAAGTATCTTATTAACAGTGGTCAGCATAATAGAAAAAGGTTTTATTCTCTTTTTGCTTCCGCAGTTTAAAAAGTCGGTCATAATTTAACTTTCTGTAAGTCTATAGACCTCTGGGTGATACAAACAGGTGTAGCTTCATCCATTTTACAAACATGTTATGCAGACCTACACAGCTGAGGATCTGGTCTTACGCTAATGGCAAAGCAATACTAATATAAGAAAAAAAATTAACATTTTAGTCTCTCATGTTTCTCAATGACTTACACAGAAAAAGAAACCATTGAGACAAAAATATATTTTCTGAACTATTTTAGGGCTATGGAAGAAAAACATACAAATAATGAAATTTGCTTATATTTTGAATGATCTTCTCTGTACACTGTTTTTCAATTTTTCTTGGTGTTTATAAAATGTAAATCTCTATATCATTTCATAAACTTTGGGTAAATTATCCACTGTCTACATTTAAATCTGAGATGCTTTAGTAAATGTCAGTCTAGAAACAGATAAATTAAATGTGTTTTTCATGTATAATCTTCTGCACGAGTATAGCTTGTTAAAAGGTGCTTTAGGTTATGGTTTTTATAAGCATACTGATTCTAATCTGGAATTAATCAAATAAATAAATAAATTTACCAAATGGTAAATAAAGCTCTGTGTGCATTTGATGTGTAAATACATCTGTAAAGTATTTTATTAACAGCAGGTGGCAACCTTTGAAAATTGGACTGCAGCAGTATGGTTTTACTTTTAAATATACAAATGCAAATTATAAGCAGTTTTATAAGCAGAAGCTGGTTTATCTGAATGTCTGCTTATTGAGAAGACTCACATTAACCTTATCTTAGTGCTGTGCTTTTATAGAGGAAGTCTGCATTAACTATGGAAATTACAATTTGTTTAGGAATCCAATAAAAATACTGTTTTGTACTGCTTTTGAACTAATGAACGTTTTCTTAAAATTAAAGAAGTCATTTGAGAAGTAAGTTAAATGTGGTTAACTTCTCCAGTATAGTATTATAATTTCGTAAGTACAAACAGCCCTCTTGTTATCCTTCAAATGCAGTGAGATTCATTGTTCTGCTGTACTGCAAATACCTTGAAAACTGTTCTTTGATGGTTGTCAAGGGATAAACATACTGCCTATGAAAATGTAGGGCTTGGTAACATAAAATTCACATCTGATACATTTCTTATTTCCTGACCTAAAGCATCCCTGCTCTTTAAGTCCTTTCTCTGACTATCAGTGAACATAGCCATCGAAATGTCCAGAAGTCAAAGAGACTGCTAGATTGATTTTTGCTGCTTCCTGGCTTGCAGTTCAGAACACATAATTTCCCAAGTGAATGGCTAAGACATCCTATCCTACTTACACTTTATTTTGTTATCTTACACCTATCCAACAATGCATTCTTTTACTTTAGGACAATATGTCTTTGCAGATAAATATGATCAGATTCACCAGCTGTTCTTGTTTATTCATCACTTTTGAAGAAGCTCAAAAGTACACTTTTATTAACTTTCAGTGGGAAAGACTTAAATCTGTTGGGAGGGCAAAGTAAAAAGTGATGCAAAGAAATGTATTTAAGCATTATATTAAAACAGGAAAGACAGCCTTTTTCCTTTTAAATTACTTTCCTTTTTATAAAATGATGCTCATGCATTCATTCATTTTATACAGTACAGTAAAGTTTACTTTTTCCCTTATCTTTACTGCACTGGAATTTACCCCAAATGTATTACAAAGACGTCTCTTGTACACTGGACAAAAGGAATTCCATGATTTACAAAGCCAGACCTGATATTCTGAGAAACGGTGCATTCAGAGATAATTTCTGCAGGAAACCATCGCTGCTCCAAATTATATAGGCAATGAAATATCTTTCTGATAACTTTCTTACTATGGTATTGTCATTTATTTTAAACAAGATGCATTGCTCATATATCCAAAAGGACTAGTTTACATCCAGCTACATAAACACAACTCTACTGAGAAAAACAGAAGTGACTTGTCTAAAGCAAGGCCAGATATGACTCTTTACGGCTATTGGTCTACAGACATGAATCTTGTCTCTCCTGAAGATCACTATTAAAGTAAGCCATACTGTAGTGTAGATAACAACAGTGATCATATTTGCATCTCACCAGGACACCTCTGTTCACTGCACCGTCTAACTTCCTCTCCAGTTCCTTCACACTGTTGCCCAGTCACAGCAGCACCTTGACAGATCCGTATCCGCCTCTCCCAGCCACCGTCACAGGATTTGGAACAGCCACTCCAGTGGCCCCACTGGTTCCACTGGCCATTTGCTGTTTGGAAAAATATAACTACAGTGGTGACATAATGACATTCACAAAGGAGGATATATAGGTTACTTTTTACTTGGGTAAGAGAAGAAAGCCCCCCAAATATAACTAACAGTGACAAAAGTGGTAGATGTAGGCAGACAGAAGATGAGGAAGGCTCTACTTGGCTCCTAAATATGACATTGTTGTCTAAATGACTTGCATCTCAAGACAAAATAAAAAGAATTGGTGCACATTAACTTTCACTTAGACTGCAAACTAGATGTTGTCCCTCTTGTAATCTTTTTATATACTTGTATAGTGCTGTTGTATGGTAATGATACACATTTACAATGTGCATAAGTACCCTTTAAAAAACTAAATAAAAACATTTTTGCATGTGGTATCTTAGGAGCTTGATTTTTACATGTTCTGACAGTGCAAATGAGGCTTAAAAGTAGGTAGAAACGTAATTTACCCACCCTGGAACGCTGCTTTTATACTGCCAGAGGATCACGAGGTAGTCTCAGTGTAAAAGGGAATCAGTTCATACACGTTCACTTTCTAGGTTCACGAAACACTTCATCAAGTTTCTTAGGCCTCAAACATATCTTTCTAAAACTGTTGAATGTCCTTGAAATGGCGATAAAACCAAAAAGCTGATATGCAGCCCATCATGCCGTCTTCCCGGACATATTCTTGAGCCTTTTATCTCATAAAACCAAAAAGAGTGAGGCCCCAGGCTCGCCTCTGAAGGCGGCTCCTCTGCCCCTTTGCAGCCCCCTGGGGCCTGTGGGTGGTCCGGGGGCCTGCTGGCATACCCCCAGTTGCCGGCTCAGAGCTACTGCCAAGACCGGAGACCGGCCCTCGCGTCTCTCCTGAGCAGGAGAGGCAGAGCCGCAGCTCCCCGCGCCCGTCGGTACTCACCGGTGCACTCGGGGTTATGGCACTCCCGGCTCTCGGCCCAGGGCCCTCTGCACTCGGAGCCGCCGTGGGCCGCCGCCGTGCACTGCCGGCTCCGCTGCTGGGTGCCGTTGGAACAGGTCACCGAGCACTGGCTCCACGAGCTCCACTCCTGCCACTGTCCGTCGACTGCCGCGGCATCACAAAAGAGATGGACACAGCAGAGTTACCACCTAAGCTGGGCAGGGCCTCGCGGCTTCCTTCTAGGTTGGGGGGTTTCAACTCAGACCCGAATGCAGCCCCTCGGGCTGGGCCTAGCCTGAAGTCGCTTGATTTCTTACAGCAATCAAATACAGACACCGCCACTACGAGCTACTTTAAAATAATTTAAAACTGTTTTCTTTTTTCTTCAAGTAAAGAACGTTTCACCTCCTCTAATTGCACACTGTTACAATAAAGGATAAATTATGATTTCGCTCACATACAGTACAGTTTGAAAGGCCTTATTAAAAACAAGACCTTATTAAAGAGACTGGTCTTGTATTTTTAGGTAAAAGTGGAGGCCAATCTTGTATCATGTAAACCCTGAGCACTTCAAAGTGATTTATTACAGCTGCGACAATTGCTCAGATGGGTCAGCTTATAAGATTACTGGTCCCAACTGTGAAATTCGGTCTCTCTAGTTGAACAGGAAAACAGGAGTTACCACTTTGCCTCACATAGTTTCTGTTCTCTGTACTTATAATGCTGAATATACTTTTATCATTCATCCTCCCAGTAAGCTAAATTATCCCAGTTCTTCAAC